TAGGACCTACTGTTTCTAGAGTCTCCATGATTAAACAGTTTCATATAATTTAAATTTAGCAAACAAAGAACTTAGGCATGGCATTTTAATGAGGGGTTTGTCTTGTACTAGAAACACATACTTGAATAAATACAGTTCTTTCAAAGGGCACACTGAGGACACTTTTATAACTTAAATGTATCTGTTCTTTAATCTTGCACTGTACTCTCTTCAGTGTTCTGTAAGTCAAGAAGTAGAAATTTATATTCTTAGTACATTTATACCTTTTTGAACCACTTCCTCCTCTGGGTAGCCTTCCTCTGGTTTTTAAACTTAACACATGAGGTCCTGAGTTCAATTCTTGATACCAATAAATAAATAAATACATATTTACATACATACAGTATAGTGGATGAACAAAAAGAAACAGTACATGTGCTATAAATTAGCAGAAAGAATGAACATTAAACAGAAGAGTCAGTTGGTGGATGGTTCCTTGTATTTAACACACTCTTCTGTGGATATTTTCCTTGATTCCTCTAGGCAGACTTTTTTAAAAATACGGTGTCACAGATTTTTTTTTTTATATTTGGAGATATATGGGTATGGATAATAGTTTAGTTCTGGTGGTTTTGATTTGGGAAGACTTCTGTGTTATTATCGGAAAAAGACATACAGCTAAGCAGAGACCAGCTTAATAAGTTCATATTGGGAAATATATGATATGTAAAGAATTCTTGTCCTCTGAGGGGATAGAGATGATTATGACGTAAAAAAGCAAGGTTCCTTTTCCAGGAGCATAGATGTGTTTGTCTTGGTTTATACTAATGCCTGGACACAGAAATGGGTAGATCCAGATTTTAAAGTTTGAGGATGAAGATTTAACAACTACGTAAGCTCACTTAAAAATAATAATTTTTTGACTCAAAAGTGTCTGCTAAGATTTATCTGTGTATACACTCATCAGCCTTGAAACACATGCTACACACATACACACACTCATCCTCCATTATTCACTGTGGTGTTGTAGATTTTTAAAATACAAAGGCATCATGTTTTGACTGAGATTGTTCAAACTGTATTAAGCTGTCATCTGAGGGTTTTGGTGTTCCCCTGTACTACTGTCACATGAGGAACCTGTCGTAATGTGCCTTCCAGACCGCTGACAGGTGTCTCCCGTACACAGCCACGTGACCAGTCTTACAGTGTCTTTTGCTCTTTGACAATATCGGCGTATGAGAGTAGGCCTCTTAATCACAGACTGTTTGACCCAATACATCATTTTCTCCCCAGCCATGATAATAACCCAGGGTTTGAAAGTGAAATTTTTATTTTGATAACAAGATTGTTTTCATATACACGCAAACATAAGCTGCAGAGGCACTACTTTTGTAAATCAGCCTGTCCGTGGGGACTTCTGCCAGATACATAAGGCTCCATGAGCAAGCAGTCTTCGGGATTGTGAAATAACATCATGGTCATAGGTGGGTCTGGAGTATCCTACTTATCAAATTTAAATTTACCCCCCATAGATTTATATTAGCTGTCAGTATATTTACGTGTAGAAAACAATTGTAGATGAATAAGCTACAGCATAGATGTATGACATCAGTGGATGGAACTACTGAAAAAAAAAAAAAGAAATACTTTTTCTCCCATTCTGGAAGTGTGATTACACAGATGCCTATCTTCAAATAGAGCCTGCTGTTTGGCTATTCATAAAATTTTTCTTCAGAAGTAAATAACATAAAAGTATATGATAGATGGTGGCACACACTTTAATAGAATTCATAAAATAATGTATTCATTTATAACAGATTTGAGTTTTTAATCAGTTGTTTTTCGTCCGTCAGATTTCTTTCTGGTAACTTGAATGCAATTTTCTCCAGCATCAGAGCTGATGCTTTTGGTTATTAGTGGTACCAGTGGCTTCCTTTGTTTTGTGGAGGGAAACCTGTGAGTGGGCTGTGTGTGCATGATGAGTTGTGTGTGTCAGAAGTTGACAGACGAAGCTTGTGTGCTTCTCACGTGCAGGACCTTGGCTGACGATGCCACTTGGTGAAAGCCAGACGTGTCCCTGGCTGGGATCTTCACGCACACACTAATTCATGCTTGCATGCCGGGTGCGGCAGATCAGAGCTCTACTCATATTTAAAAGCAAGGGGCATGCACTTAGGCACTTTGTGCCGGGTGTTGCCACTGGGTACCAGCTAAAATAAAGTGCTCTTTTCTTTTTGGAAAAAAATTTTAAAAAAAATAAATAAATAAAAGCAAGGGTCCTGCTTGGAATGTCTGTGATTCTGGTCTTCTAAATGCATACTGCTTCTCATGTCATATCAATTATTGCTATACTCTCTCTCTCTCTTAAGTAAATATTTGTTTTTAAGAAAAGGTAAGAAAATAAGAGACAAGAAAAATAAATAAAAACAAGGGAATAACAGGCTTGACTGGCGTAAGTCATTGGGCCAGGGTCGGGTGACAAGGCTGAGAGGTGAGCTCCAAATCAGAAACTTTATTTTCCTCTCCAGACTTCTGACAAGAGACCTCTTTATTTAAAATGTGATGGTTAACATTGTTTTTGAGCTTCATAACCAGCCGCCCTGCCAATGTCACCCCAAGGCCAGGTTGACCCCCATGCTGCGAGTGAGTTTTGAGGACTTCGTTGTTTGTCCGGGATGGGCTGATGAGGGACCTCTGAGCATGTGGCCCTGCCCTTCCTGGGGCAGGGCTGGACTGCCGACTACACACTTTGGCAGGTGTGCTGGCACTGTGTAGGGGTGAAGTAATTTACATGTGTGTAGATATATGACTATCTTAGCTGCTGTAATTTATATAGTAATTATCCAAGCGCTGTAATAGTATTCTTAAATGGTGGTGAAAACGGTGCTCATGTCTAAATGAAGAACACCATGGAATGAACCCAGGGAGCGTCACTAGGGTGTGGTTCCTTCGGTGCATTGCCTGGTTTTGTCTCCAGTGACTGTTTTCTAACTTAGTAAGATATTGCTGAGACACATAAGCCAGTAAGGAGAGTGACATTAGGCCCTCTGGTATGACTCGAATTCAGGGAGTGTTGGCTCAGTAGCAGCCATGGTCTTCTCACATGGGACTTTGTATACAGGAGCAGTATGTATGCACCTTAAAGGGATAAATAATTTTTTACTGTATAAAGGCAAAACACTTGAAGTCACTCATGGTGGCACATACCTACACTGTCAGCAGTCCAAGAGGTCGACGCAGGAGGATTGCAAGTTGGAAAGCAGCATGGGAAACTTAGAGACTTGGTATAAATAAAAATTAAACACCTTGGGCTGGGGATGTAGCTCTGGGGCACAGCACCAGTGTGGCAAGCACAAGGTCCCAAGATGGATTTCTGGTACCAAAAAGAAAAAAAAAAAAAAAACCCTCTAAAATCTTAAACACTTAATCCATTTTTCTTTGCCTATCTGTATTTTTTCAAGTTAAAGTAGTTTAATTTTGAACAGATTGTCCTTTTGTAACCATTTGTGTTTGTCATATCTCACACACACCTATCATGCAAGCATCTGGGGAGGCTGAGGCGAAAGGATCGTGAGTTCAGTTCACACCTAGATGACTGATCCAGGGAGACCTTGTGTTCAGGTTTTAAAAAGGGGTGAGCTGTAGTCCCATGGTAGAAAATCCTTGGGTTTGACCCTCAGTACCAGTCCCCCCAATTACATTCTATACTTTAGAAAGAATAAAGTAATATATGTATATATGCATGTACTTACGTTTTGTTGATATATGTCAACAACCTCTTAGGTAAGTTTTACAGTGATTTTGATAAAGTAGGTTCAGCATAATTTTTTTGGATTTGGTTGTAAATATTAAAATGAGTTTGTGTTGATGAAAATGTATCAATGCTGCAGTATATACTTTTTTTTTTTTTTTTTTTTTTTTTTTTTTTTTTGGTGGAACCAGGGATTGAACTCAAGCCCTTGCACTTGCCAAGAAAGCAATTATTCTACTGAGCTGTCTCCCCAGCCCCACCAAAATTTTAAAATAGTGCAACTAGGGTTTTTATTGTAAACTAGCTTTAAAAAGCAGGATTTAAAATTTTTTAATATATAAAAACCGTGGCTGCTTCGCCCACCATCCTAGAAGGCAGGCAGGCAGAGGAAACCTGCTAACCCCTCTCCCCACCATCGCCTGAGCTTGCCTGAACTGTGACCACCTCTCTCACCAGTAGTGGAGGCATTGCAGAGCCCTGCCCGGCCCTCCCACTGTCATGGAAGCCTTGCCCACCTGCAGCCCATTATCTGCCATCACTGCTGAATCCAGGAGAATAGTCAGAGCCTAAAAAATGTCAACACAAAGGAGAAAAAGGCAATCTCAATCATACAGCCCACCCAGCACGAGTCCAGGAGACAAGGTCATAGAAGAACTTGGATGTCATACAACTGAAATTTCTGAAATGATAGCAAATGTAGTAAAGAAACAACTCCATTAGGCTATAGAAGGAATCAGATCAGAAATCATCTTCCAGGTAGAAAAAGAAATGACAACAATCATGAAAGAATTGCTGAGCACATCTAAAGACATAGATTAAAAAATAAATGAAGGACACTAGGAAAATGATGGAAACACTGAAAGAACAGTACAGGAAAGAATTAACTAGATTCAAACAGATATCCAGAAACTTAAAAATTCCTTTGAAAGGTAGCAAAACCACTTGAACGAAACTGAAGATAGAATTTCAGATCTTGAAGATAACCTTCCAGCTAGTGACCGTATTAGGAAAGATCTCTTAAACATAACAAGGAACCAGGAAATACCAATCCAACAGCCACAAGATGATGCAAAGAAAAACAGTTATTAAGACACATAGGTATCAATGTAATGGCAGGAGTCAACACAAATGACATAAAAGGAATATTTGCCGAAGTAGTAGTAGAAACTTTCCCAAGCATAGGAAAAGAATCTGACACACAGTTAAGTAAAATCAATATCAATCTATAACCAGACACATAACAATCAAGATCACATAAATCCTGCAAATGAACAGAATTTTAAAACCTGTTAGAGAAAAGAAACAGGTCGTCTATAATGGAAAGGTGATCCGTGGCTACTGGGTCGGCACCTAACAGTCAAAACATCCTGCGTGCTGTTTGTGTTCTATGGCTCTATATCCAGAGTTCACTGTCAGTTATTCATGATTATAGTGGGGATATTTGAAGAAAAAAAAAAAGCTTCCTACTCTGAACCTGGTCATAAATTAACTGAGAGACTTCCAGAGTTTTTATAAATAAAAATTGACAAATGAAAAGAAGCATACTGGCAGAGTGGATAAAGAAACAAAATCCAACAATATGCTGCATATAAGAAATACATTTAACTCAAAAAGAAATTTATAGACTAGAAGTTAAAGGATGGAAAGCAGTACTCTATGCCACAAGAAGCCAGAAAAAAAAAAAAAAGGGTAGCTATTCTGGTTGCTCACATGTAAACTTCAAACCAAGGCTGATTAAAAGAGATAAAGATGGTCACTACTTAGTTGTTAGGGGGAAAACTGCAAGAGGAAGAGATAATAATCATAAATATATATGCATCTAATGTAAGAACACCCAATTATATAAGACAAATTTTAACAGACATGAAAAATCAAATGAGCAATAACACAGTTATACAGGGGCACTTTAACACCCCATTGCCACAAAAATATGGATCAACTAGGAAAAAAACGAGCAAGGAAATAAAAGAGCTAAACAAAACCTGTGAAGAAATGGGTTTAGTAGACCTTAACAGTATTCCTCCCAACAGCATCAAAATACATATTCTTCTCAGATGCACACATGGTATTCTCCAAAATAGACCATAAGCTAGCACATAAAGGGTGCTTAAGCAAATGCATTGCACCTGCACTTATCCCATGCATATTATCCAACCATAGTGCAATGAAACTGGAAATTATTGACAAAAGAAAAAGCAAAAACTCCGTAAAGACATAGAAACTAAACAACACCCCTCCGAACAGTCAATATATCACAGGTGAAATTAAAGAAGAAAGGAAACAATATTTATAATCAAATGAAAATGCAGACACAACTTACTGGAATCTAGAAGATGCAATGAAAGCTGTCTTAAGAGGAAAATTTATAGTGGTACAGTCTCACATCAGGAAAACAGAACAAGTCAATATAAGCAAGCTCATGCTGCACCTCAACTCCTAGAGAAAAAGAACAAGTCAAGCCCAAAGCCCAAAGAAGGCAGGAAATTATAAAGATCAGAGAAGAAATAAATGTAATGGAGACAAAGAATACAAAGAATTAATGATTCAAAGAGTTGGTTCTCTGAAAGAATAAATAAAATTACTAAACTCCTAGTCAACTTTATCACAAAAAGGAAAAAAAAGCAAATTCATATAATAAGGAATGAAAATGGTGAAATTACTATGGACCCTGTAGAAATTCACATCATCAATACCTGCTTTCAAAATCTTTACTCTCACAGGATGGAAAACACAGAAGAAAGGAACCGATTCCAAGATACATATGTAATGCCAAAGTGGAATCAAGACATAAAAACTTTGAATAACCCAGTATCAGTCAATGAAATTGAAAATGTAATTTTAAAATATCTACTAACAAAAACCCAGGTCCTGATGGATTCACAGTTGAATGCTATAAGAAACTTAGAGAAGATTTAATGCCAATTCTTCTCGAGTTCTTCAGTGAAATTAAAAGGAAAGCAATTCTCTCAAACTCATTCGTGGAGGCAAACATCACTCTGATACCAAACCAGTGAAGGACCCAACCAAAAACAAAAACTATAGGCCAATATCCCTAGTGAACATAGATGCAAAAATCCTCAATAGTAGCAATACAGAATGCAGCAAGTCATCAAGAAGATTATACATCATAACCAAATGGAATTCATTCAAGGAATACAGGGTTGTTTCAAAATATGCAAATCCATACATGTAATATACCCCATCAACAGAGCTGAAGACAGAAACCTCATGATCATCTCAATAGATGTAGAAAAATCTTTTGAGAAAGTCCAACACTCATTGATGGTTAAAAAAAAAAAACTTGCAGAAAATTGAAGTAGTCTTTTCTCAACCTGTTAAAAGCAATCTATCACAAACCAATAGCCAACATCATACCAAATGGACCAAAACTTGAAAACCATCACTTTAAAATCAGGAACAAGATAAGAATGTCCACGTTCACCATTCCTATTCAGTATAGTTCTAGAAGCAGCCAGATCAATCAGACAAAAGAGAGAAATGAAACTTATAATCATTGGCAAGGACTAAATGAAATCATTATTTGCAGATGACATAATTTCTGCATAGAAGACCCCCCCAAAACTCCACTAACACTTGCAGATTTAATATCCAAATTCAGTAGCCAGGCAGAATACAAAGTCAACACTCAAAAATCAATAATAGCATTACTATACCTAAACAACAAGCACACCAAGAGAAATTAGGGAAATCATGCCTTTTTCAGTAATGTTCAAAAAAATGAAATACTTAGAAATCAATCTCACAAAGGAAATGAAAGACACAGTAAAACTTATACTACTCTGAAAAAAGAGATCAAAGTAGATATCACAAAATGGACAGATACTCCTTGTTCATGACTAGGAAGAACCAACAGTGTAAAAATGGCTCTGCTCCTAAAATTGTTATACAGACTCAATACAATCTCAGTTAAAATACAATTAGCATACCTCACAGGACTGGAGAAAATATTGCTAAAATTCATTTGGAATCAGAAGAGATCAAGAATAGCAAAAAGAATCCTAGGCAATAAAGGAAAGGCAAGACGCATTACAATTTCTGAGTTGAAATTATACTACAAAGCTATATTGATAAAATCAGCATGGTACTGACAAAAAAAAAATCTGAGGATCAGTGGAACAGATTAGAAGACACAGACACAACTACAAGCATTCAACAGCCTTATTTGTGACAAAGAGGCCAAACATATACACTAGAAGAAAGTCACTTTGATAAATGATGCTGGGAAAAACTGGCTTTCTCCATGCCAAAGACTACAAAAAGACCCACATCTATCACCATGTACAGAATTACCATCTCAAATGGATCAGAGATTTAAATACTAAAACGAAAACCCTAAATCTTCTGGAGGAAGAAGTAGAAAGTTTAAGACATAGTGGTAGGTAGAGAGTTCAAGAACAAAAGCCAAGCTGAATAGGAAATACTGTTCCCAAGAATCAACACTTGGGATCACATCTTTTTAAAAAGTTTCTGCATTTCAAGAAAAATACCCAATAGAGTAAAAAGAAAATCCATGAATTAGGAAAAAATTATCCCGCAGACCAAGGCATTCTATCTAGAACATATAAAACATTTCTTTAAAAATTAGGCTACCAGAATTTGAAGACCCAGTCAAAAAATGGGGATCTGAGATGAATATACACTTCACAAGTCAAATAAAGACAACAAATTACTATATGGAAAAGTGTTTAGCATCGTTGGTCATTCAGGTGATGTGAATTTAAACAATGCTGAGATTCTGTCTAGCCTCAAAAAGAATGACTGCCATCAAGAAGTCAACTAATAACAAATGCTGAAGGGGTTTTGGGAAGCAAAGGAAGCTTTCGCCACTATTGCTGGGAGTGTAGACTGGAACAAGCACTGTGGAAATGCCTCAAAAAGGTAGGATTACAAGTCCCATTGAACCCAGGTATTCTCCTCCTGGTTATTTTTCCAAATGCACTGAAAACACACCACAGTGATTTACATGTTCCCACAGTTTGTCATAGCTAAGTATTATAAACAACCCAAATGCCCATCAACTGAGGAATGGGTGAAAAAGATGTGGTATTTTACACAACGGAGTATTAGTCAGTTGCAAAAATATAAACTTGCATCTTTTATAGGTAAATGGCTGCAACTAGAGACCGTGTTGGTAAGTGAAATAAATCAGGCCCACGTGTGCAAACATTGTATTGTCTCTCTAGGGTATGAACCTGAAAGCATAAATAAAATCTGAATGGTACAATAGCTACTGTGAAAGGGAAAGAATTTGTGCAATGGTAAGGAAAAATTGGGATGAGGCAGTTGACACAATAAGGAAGGGAAAAAGATATATTTATGTATACATACAGGATAACTTGGATAATTGTACTGCTGATTTCTGCTTGTCTATGGAAAGGAGCAGTTAATGCTTAATTTTTCTTCTTCTTTTTAATTTCTGGCAGCTTTTTAAACCAATTTTGCATGTTTACTGTACAATTAATTTGAAGATAACATTATTTTATTTCCTTTTTACCATTTGTATTCTCTGTAAAAAATTAAAACATATCCAGTTTGATTATAATTTTAAAAGCATTTTGAGATCGCACTTACTCATCTATGCAGAAAAATAAGATTCTTCACATTTTATAAAAATTTATTCATTGCCCTAAAATACTATTTCACATTTTTGTTCTCTGTAATTTGTGCAGTTTTAAGGAGATTTTTAAATGTTAAGATAGCTTTGTCATCCCAGGGTGTTCTCATTAATTTTTGTTCATTCATATTTTGCCTTGTGTTCTGTGTTACTTTAGAAAATATGTTAGGTAATTTGTCAGCCACGTTACATTTTAAGTCACATTGTATAAGAATTTCTATTTTTTAGGAATTTGCTTTGCCAGTTCATTATCCCAAGAGACATGCGAAAAGGTGCTTTTATTAAAAAATCAGTAGCCTAGTCTGCACTGAGTTTCCTTGTGGAGGGAGCCTGTTGCTATTCAATGTTAAACTTGGTTAATTTTAAGAATAAGAAAAAGAGGCTCTCTGGCTGAAGGTATGCACTGTTCCATCTTTCTTTAGTGGCGAGCTGATGCCACCAGGGGAGAATCCTCCCATGCTATGGGGATGGGGCCTTGTGCTTTGCTTGAGCCGCAGTCCACAGTGTGCCCTCATGCCTGTTGCGTCCCTTGGCTGAGTAAAATCTCAGATGCCAGACACCATTCTGGGTAGATGAGCAAGAGCATATAATGGCACAGTTGCATAGAGTGGAGATTTTTCATTTTAATTTAATACAGAAAAGAGAAAACAGATAATCTGAACAACCTCAAAAATAAAGTATAACACCTTATAAATTTTACCCCTCAAATTGCACTTTCTCAAAATGACTTCCAAACACCGAAGTCCAGACAGATACCTGAAAGTGTTTCATTGCTGGAAAGTTGGCAGGACACTTTTCTCAGGACTAAAATTGAAAAAGTGCATCCTCAGGAATAACAGATCTGATTTTTCTGTCTGCCCTGTCCCTCTAGCAACTCAAGAAATTGAATAACTTATCTTCCCTCTAGTTATCTGAAGAGTGGGGTTTTTAATTCCTTGATTTTCTTTATTTTTAAAAATATTTTTATTTCATTTATTTGATACAGGATCTCACTACACAGTTCAGACATAGTGATCTTCCTGTCTCACCCTCTGCACTGGGATTACAGGCGTGTGCCGCCATGCTCAGTGTCAGGGCTGGCTAGGTATGCACGGTTTCTGGGGCTGGCGTGGCATGTGGTATCCAGGATGAAACTTGGGTCCGGTGGTTGGCAGGCAGGCACTTAGATTGCTGAACTATCTTCCCAGCCCCTCCTTGAGGTTTTTCATTCACATTTCTATTTACCTTTTAAGAACCAAATTCATGATAGTGAGGAGACCCATTTTATAAGATTATCTTAGACTAGGATTGAGAACTGAGTGGAATTGAATTCTGAGAAGGCCCCCCATGACCCAACCCTGTCACCTACAACCACTAATGTCACCTTGTACATGGGCATGTGTCATCCTTTTTATGGTTCAGGAGATCAAGACTCTGAGCTTGCCATTTTACATCTATTTAAGCATTGGCAGAGTTCCTGCCCATTGGCCCGGGAAGACTGTGGGACACAAAGAGAGCAAGCGGGCTCCCCGCCCTGACCTCGAGGTACTCGTGGCCAAGCCGAGCTTGCGGTTGTTAGGCTGTGGGACTAGGAGTTTGGGTAAGGCTCTTTCACCTGCTAACAGAAGTAGAGCTTGGGACCTCCTCTAAAAGGTGAAATAGTAGGATTCCTCACCAGAAAGAAGGGAGGCCAAAATGCCTATTGGAAAAGAGGTGTCTGCCTAAAGCCCCCGGAGACCAAGAAGGCAATTCCAAGTCTGAGCCCAGCCTGGGCAACTGGCAAATTAGTGAGATGCTGTCTCAATAATTTTAAAAAGTGAATGAATAAATGATGCAAAGGCTCTAGTTCAATCCCTGATGCTACTGAAACACACACACATACACACACACACACACAGACACACACACACACACACACACACACACACACACACAAACAAACCCGACTATTGTATTGAGTATGTAACTAAAAATAATTATCGACTAAAAAGAGTGAGACTTAAGCACAAGATGCTGGTTTTCTCTCTGGAGTGAATTTTACTTTACTGAACACCACTGTTGCTGTGGTTCACTTGAGAAAGAAAGGCCAGCAGTGGTCTCCTGCTCTCTTGGGACCTCCAGCATGGGCCAAGGACAATGGCGGGGGATCCGTAAAGGCTTATTGAACAAATGAGTGAAAAGAAGAGCAACCAAATGGGCTGACAGTGGCAAACTCTGAGTCTGGATTTCCTCAGATTCCTTGGCATGCACAGAAGTATGCGCTATAGTGTATTTTTTCTCAAGGAAAGATAAAAGGAGCAAGACCCAAAGAATAATGGAAACATAGAAGCATATTTTGTGCCAAGGTTGAGGCTATTAATTTACCTCAGTAAACATTTACTGAAGTAATAAAACTTGTTTCATGCCCCGGAGCTCACAACCATTGAAGACGACTTCAGAGACAGGTGCCCACCATAGAGGCCATCACCCACCATGCTTGGACGTGGTGTGGACTGATGATGGGGACCTGCAGCACTTCAAAAGAAAGGCAGTGCGCGTTTACATTTGTGTTTTATGGGGGTTTTTGTGTGTGTTTCACATGTTTTGTGAGTGATCAGTTGGGAGACTGTTCCAGTCATCTGAGAAAATAATGTGGCCTGAGCCAGAGTGTAATTTGGAAATTAATCTCAAAAATTAAAAATAAAAGCTTTTTAGAGATACATTTAGACCGTTGAGCTTTTTCTATTAATGTAGTAGTGCCAGTTAGTTGAAAAATTAAGTAAAACATTTACAGCGGCATTTTTTTTTATCCAAATACAATTAGAAAAATCTTATTCATTAGTTCCAACCCAAAAGGTGAAATTTCTCAGCTACTCCCATTTTCCGCAACAGAAGATCATTAACACAGATGATTTCAAAAGTATCAGCATGCAAGAAACTAACCATGGAGTCAAGCCGACCTTCGTCCATACCTTGCACTTGTTTTCCTGAACTATCCTCAACCTCAATATTCTTGTACATAAAATGAGAACAATGCTTGATTCTTTGGCTACAGAGTTGGTGAGATAATGGACATAAAACATCTAGCACAACAGTAGCATATTCTAAGCAATAACTAAGCATTTGTTTTTAATGTATAATGCACTTGTCTTTCAGGAAGAAAAACTGTATAGTAATCTAGAACTGTTTGCTTTATTTTGCCACTTGTATAATAGGACTCTTGTTAGCATATTTCCTCAATTTTATGTTTATCTGTCTTTTCTTCTTCCTCCAAATGTTTTTCCCTCAGCCTCATACCATTGCCTTGGGAGCACTATACTGTAGTGTTATTTGGTACCAACAATATAGAGCATAAACCTTTTTTATACTTTTCTGGGGACTCCAAGAAATTTAGCAAATAATGAAAAATTGTCCAATGGGAAAAAGAAGTCATGAAATTAACTAGCATATTGCTTGTCACACATTAACATCAACAACAGAAAATCACATGAGTTATAAACACTGAGGAAAGTGGTCATTATGAATCTTTTTTTTTTTCTCTCTTAAGCAATGAGCAGAGCTTTTGTAGAAGGGAGATGATTCACATTAAACAGATTGGCTGCACTCTCAGATGACAGAGCATCATTGTAGGCACTTGCAGTCCCTACAGAAAGTAAGGTTCTCTAAAGATTAGGCATCATGCGATGTCTTCCATTCTCTTAGGTACAATTTTATTTTTTAAGGCCTGTTTTCTAGCTGACCTCATGAGCCCTTTCACCAAGCAGAATAACAAGATGTCCCTGGAAAGATAGTTCAGCTCAGACTCAGATTATAGTACAAGAGAAACATAATAAAACCAGAAAAAGATATCAAGATGCCCAAATAAAAAGATCATTGACCAGAAGGGACTCTTATGGGACAGAATATTTGAAATACCAGAAATTTGAAAACTTACTTTGAGCAGTATGTAATAATATTTCCAGTAGCAAGAGATGACACATTCTATGTGTTGCTCAGCTTTCCTAGGACAAAATGATGCCTTACACAGAGAACTTGCAGGAAATGGCTCATTTGGCTTGTGGTTTTGGAGGTTTCTTTCCATCATGAGCTGGTTCCATCCCTGTGTTTCTGAGATGGGGCAGAACATCATGGTGGGAGAGCATGGTAAAAAAGAGGTGCTCCCTTCATGGTGCCCAGGAAGCAAAAACCAGGTAGAGCATGAGAGAAGGGGCTGGACACCAGGTACAGTGCCTAAGATCATGCCCCCATTACCCACCAGACATAACAGGAGTGTGCCTTACTAATCCCCTGGGTGTCTTCAAGCCACTCAAATGACAAGCAAAATTAACCATCATAAGAAGCACCAAGGTAGCAGAGTAGTGAGCACTGGAGAATGAGCCTCTCTGAAAGTCACAGTCCAGATGCTGCAACGTAGCAAGATGAGGAAGACCAAGAAGGAGGGAGGGTGGTTCCCGGGACCCAGGAAGCATGAATTTAAGCACGCAGAAAGATTGAGGAGAGAAGCTTCAACAAAAGAGGGGGAGCCTGTCCTGGTGGCACATACATGTAATCCCAGCAATTGGAAGGCTCAGGCAGGAGGATGGATGCAAGTTTGAGGCCAGCTAGGCCACAAAGTGAGCTCAAGACTAGCCTGAACTTCATAGTGAGACCCCATCTCAAACACACACACACGCGTGCACACACACACACAGGGAGCTGGTGGCAACTTCTCCCTGAGATGTGTCTAACTGTGTGAGAGGAGAGGTTTAAATGTGTGGAGACACAGTGACTGCTGACAACCCCAGAGGCTTCCACAGAGAGATACAATGGTGGTGGGAAACAGTGGGCATGAAGGACCGCACCAGCTGGCAATGAGTGCTGAGGGTGCCATTGTCCCACATGACAAACAGTTGGCTAGGAGCCAACTTGGAGAAGGGCCGACTGAAATCTGAACTCAGCCTGGCTGCAGGCTCTATCAAGCAGCTCCCAGAAGGCCTCAGGCCCAAAGAAGGTGCACTGAGAACTGTGGCCTAAGGAGTCTAGTCTCAGCCGGAAGGTGTAGGCTTTCTAAGATTATCCACTACCTCAGAAAGGTACTGCTGGCTTGCTGGGATAAATCAACACATGAATTAGGACTCTATCCACAAATTCTCTACCAGTGACAGCAGAAACATACCTGGAAGTGAGACTTTTTTTCTTTTTGCTTTTTTCTTTATACCTCTTGCTTATTTGTTTTTGCTGTTGGTGGTGGGTTTTTTTTGTTTTGTCTTGTTTTGTTTTTGCTTGTTTGTTTTTGGTTTTTTTGTTTTGTTTTCCCCCCCTCCATGGTTTGATCTTTTTATATGAATGTGAACATCATTTCTAGCCTCTTTGCAGTTGTGGTTCATTTCTGTGCTTCTTATCTCTTCCTTCTCTCTTTGTCTCTCGCCTTCTGCACCAGCTTCCCATTAGCATGATCCCTTTTATTCTCCAACCTTCTGACTCTGACAGCTACCTCTTCTTGCACTTCTCTATTTTCTCCCTAACCCATTTTAAATTTTAACCAATGAGGGCAAAATTGACATATGAAGGACTTGTATAGTGTATATAATTTTCTGGTTTGTTTTAGAATTTGTTGTCTGACCACAAATCTAGTTCTAAGGTTAAAGGTAGCAAATTAGTGGTTAGCTCAGTTTGTCAATTTCTAGGCTATACTTCTCTATACAAAAGTGACATAGTTATTATAAAAAACTGTTCCTCCAGGTATTCCAAGACTAAGATTGACTAAGAGTCCTATAAAATACTGTGGCACAGTGCCAAAGAACCAGGCAGCAACTTCTCATCCTTAACAAATTAAAGATGTAGGATCTTAAAACAGATTCAGAACCCAAAAATCAGCTATAACTAGAAGATACCTCAGAGAAGTGGTCATTTCCTAAAAGTTATAAATATTAGCAACAAAGCAACCCACTATAGGTAACTTATAAGCATCATCCCAGGAATTAAACTGAAAAAAGAAAATGAGACGACACTTAAGATGTAGACCTGGACATCCAGTTGACCAGAGGCAAACCCAGGGAGTGGAGAGGTGGGACAATCTGAACACCACCCACCTGGCCTTTCCAGAGTAGTAACACAAAAGCAATTGGATGAGGCTCCAGAAAGAAATAAAACCAAGAATAATTTCTCCAATAACTGCAAAGATGGTGTCCACAATGAAAATCATTCTTAGTGATGCTAAAGCAGATACAGACAAAAAAAGGAGCTGAAGAAAATTATGGAAGCCATGAATGATCAGAATAAGAAAGAAATGGAATCCATGAGGCAGAATCAAGCAGATATCCAGAATAAAAATTCCATTGAATGCATCAGCAACAGATTAATCCAGTGTAAGGAAAGCATCTAGGATTTAGAAGACAGGCTTGCAGTTAGCAATCATCAAAGAAAGGTTTCTTAAAAATAGCAGGTGACCATGAGAAATCAATAACATCAGCTGCTGTATGAGGCAAAGAAAAATAACTTAAGATTGGTTGGAGTCAATGAAAAGCAGAAGATACCACAAATGCTATAAGAAAAAATGTTCACAGATGTCATAGCAGGAAACTTCCCTCTAGAGAAAAAGAATTTGATACATAGTTAAGTGAGGCATAACGAACTCCAGTTAGCCATAATAAAATAAATCTACAGCCAAGTCTGCCATACTCAGAATTCCATAAATTGATCTTAAAAGTTGTTAGGGAAGAGAACCAAAGCACCTATAAAGGAAAGACCATCAGAATCACAGGCAACTTCTCAGCACAAATCCTCAAGTCAATGAGAAGTTGGAGGGAAGTATTGCAAGTTCTAAGGGAAAACATCCTTCAACCCAGATGTATGTATCATGAAAACCCAATGGAAAAATAAGATACTTTAATGAAAAAGAACATCTGAGGAAATTTGTGGTCACCAGATCAGCACACCAAAATATTTTGAAAGACATTCTAGAAAGAGATAGCAAGAACTACAACTCCATGAACATCAGCAGAAGGAATCCACCAGGCAAGGCAAATAAACAGAGGGGAAAGGTGGGGGGGGGA